CTTGATTCAATCAGATTTACGCTTAAATCAAAAGGAAATCCGCTCAAATTAAGAGGCTTCGTTCTTGATTTAGGCTTAAATCTGATTGAATCAAGCGTATTTTTTTTTGTCAATGTTTTTAAGAGTCTGGACTCTAGATCCAATGTGTTTTTTCTCCAGTGTGCAGATCTGCGAGGCTTTTGACTTTTCCTATGGTCAATGCGCCTAGGGTTGAACTATACGGAAGTCGCTTTTTCTGGACGATTTGACAACCGCACGACACGGTCCGTCTTTCTGCCCTCCACGCTCGTGCGACCACCCCGCTCCGTTGAGAAAGCCGCGTTGTCGTTGCGCATTGGGGGCGAGCTTTTTTTGGCCGCCAGCGAAAAAATTAAAAGACACGCCGCCGAGAATAAAATTAGGAGCCGGGCGCTTTTCTCCATGCCCTGGAAAAATGAGGAGTTGCTCTCGGATTAAAGTTCGAGGGTGGCCTTGCGGGGAGGTTAACGCACTCGAAGAAGATGAAGGGTCATCAACCAAAAGGCCGATTTTTAGAGATCGGAGCCAATTTTCGACAGAAAATTCAGAGGTAAAGGAAGTGACGAGAGAAGGAGAGGCTATGCATACTACTATTTCACCTTCAATTTTTAAGATAGGCAATTTTCGTCAGAAAGTTTGGAAATAGAGCAACTGACGGAGAAAGAGGAGGTTATGAACTTCACTGTTTCGCCTTCAATTTTTAAGGGAGGTAATTTTCGTCAGAAAGTTTAGGAATAGAGGAACTGGCGAGAAAAGGGGAGGATATGCATTTTACTATTTTGCCTTCAATTTTTAAGGTAGGCCAGAGATCATAGCAGATTATAATAGTCATGTATACATTCGTGGGGAAGAGCTCTCTGTTGTCGTTAAATATTAGGAAGGTGGGCTAATCATCACAAACTGGCGATATTAATTCTAGCTTTGATTCCCTAATCAAGTTTGCATGATTAATTATCAGTTAGTATAAAGAAATGGCAGTTTACCTCAAAATTCGTTGCTAGAAGAGGGAAAACTTAGCAGTCTCACGTAGAAAAGTTCACAGTCGAATTTGGTAAATCTTAGAAAACATTTATCCCCATGGCGCTGTTTTTGATTCTCGGTTTCTTTTTAATTTTTCTTCCCAAAAACTCGATGAACGTCATGGTATGACATTTCCGCCGAGTTTCCTAGGCCGCATAGTGATCCACTATGCGGCCTAGTCGATAGGAGAGGTCGGACAAAATTTGGAAACTTTAAACGCTTTTAACTCCATTTATACGAGACTTTAAGGTTCTAAAAGTGGTTCCATTTGTTTCCTGAGCTTCCCTTTGAAATTTGAAATGTGACGAAATAAACATCAAAATTTGCAGTTTTAGTCAAAAATTTCATGTCCGACCTCTCCCATTGACTCGATCCACTGTGAGCGGAGGAAATATGAGCTATGCTGCTCGTCAGTTTTCCTACAGAAAACTTTACTTGACGAGGATTCTATCACGTCGAAAATTGGAAAACGCACTTTTTGATTATCACGATCAAGTACGAAACACCTTCAACGTCCGAAATGAGCACACTCAGAAACATTTCAAGAGTCGGAAATTCAGTATTTTAAATAGGTATCGTAAATAAGAAATAAAAAATCAAAGGATATTCAAGGGTCTAGGGCGTTAAAGTGCGGGAGTATTTGTTTGTGTTTTCAAAACGAGCATTCGGGAAACGTAAGTCGATGTAACGTCGTGTTGCAGTTGCAACACACACTTTTGTAATTTAAAAGTTTCAGACAAGTCAAAAGTTGACGCTTCCCGAGAAGCTTTATACGGTTAAGGTGCACGATTGCGTAATTTTTCGTTTGTTTTTATGAGAAAATTGGCCGGATTTACAACGGCTCTACAAGTAAACAAGACCTCGCGGAAAATAGCGCTGAAATAGAGCAAGTCGACAGTCGCTGGGAGGAAGAAAGCTGGATACCCGGGAGGTGGGGCCGATTGGGGTCGCGGAGGGTGGGGGGTGAACTTTCCGCATCGGGAGAGATGCTGAAGCTCTCGAAAGTGGAATATCTCTCCTCGGCGTGGAGGCAGCTTGGCGGGGGTCATCTTTAAATAAGAAAAAAAACTGTCTTGTATAAATCAAAACCGCTTTTTAAAAAAAGTGCTTGGTTAACCATTTTTTTAGAATATTTGACAGCTGTCAGGCGCACTTGAGGGTTGTTCGGGGCTGTCGCGAGGGCCGAGGGGCGCGGCGGAGGGGGAGGGGGTGCAAGAACTCTGGGGACTCCACTACAAGCTCTCAATTAGTGGTGGGAGAGCCCCGCCCGGGCCCGCGGGCCTTTTCTGGCCTTTATCGCACCCGTCTCGGTCTGTCAAAGGAGCCAAACCTAAATGGGTTTATTAAATTCGCTTTCCGATGGCACGAAATTACGGTTTTAAAGTTGAGTTTCCAGCCCCGCACAGTGGCTGCGAGGCCTTTGGATCGGTGGCGTTTACTCACTGGTAATTCAGAGGAAGCGCAGAAAGTGTAAGGATATAAGGGTTGTATTTGGACGTATTTCTACCAAACGGAACTATGTGTATTAAGGCAAGATCCCTGAGATTCATGAGAATATATGCATTACAGGGCTCACGTCATTATACAGATAGTTCCGTTTGACAGAAATACGTCCAATTTCAAAAAGAAAAGAGCAAGCATGAAAATGAAGAAGGTCTTATGCATAATTTGACGTATTTAGGCTAAAAGGAACTATGTCGCTTGCAAAACCTATGCACATGTTCTTTTTAGCATAAAAACGTCCAATCCTTCCTCAATTGTTTCATTTCCTATTTGGCTTACATCGTGATTAAAGAATCAAAGGGATTGACGACGGCGCAGAGATACAACTATTCGTACTTGATGGATGTCCGTGTTGCATCTGCAAAATTGAAGGCGCGATGGCGCGATGGCAGAAATACGTCCATTTATAGTCGTTCCTTAAACAGCTCCTCTCTCTAGGAGGCTCCATTTGGTGAGACTGTGATTAAGAGAGGTGCAAAGAAACTTTAAACGTAGTATCATGAAATAGACAATTTGTGGAAACCTCCTGCAAAACTCACAAATCACAACTCCGGTTATGGGTTCGTCCAAGGGATTATAATGATCCACCCAACCTCCTCCCCGAAAAAAATTGCGAGTTTTGTGAAATTTAAGTAAGGCGACTGCCTACCTTAATATTTGTACAAATCTTAATAATTTTTCTTGAGTTATTTTAACTTTTTAGTAGGGAAAACCATTGTGATCCCCTCTAAGAATCCATTTTCAGAATTATGATACGAGATTCCACGCGAGGTTCGCAAAAAATTGTACATTTTTAATGCGATGTTTAAGGTTTCTTTAATCCCTCCCCAATCAACGTTAACCATATGGACCTCCCAAAGAGAGGAACTTAACTTTACTTTGCGCAGTTTTCCTTTTTCTTTGTGTTTTCATTGGGTTTTTGAAAATCTAAAAAATAAATTTGGATACGTTTGAGATTTCTGACCAACTGGGCTAAATCTATTTAAATGTTTTTTTTTTAAGTGAATACCTGTTGTGCTAAAGAAATCGCCTTATGAATATTCGAGAGTTGCCAAATTTACCCGAATAAAATATGAATTTTGGATGAATGTTATGCATTATTTTCCTTGAAATTTTCAGATATTTAGATTAAATCGTGAAAAACATTGACTGAAAATTTTGAGGGAAAATTTTCACAATTTTCGCAATTAATTCGGTTTTTCTTGAAGGAAATATGGGAACGTCTGAAGGCTCACACGGCGTTCTTCCTCAGCAAAAGTTCATCAGTGAGATAATCGGCGCCACAAAATTCGAGCAGAGGTTTAAGTGATATAATAGAGTACATTGGTTTGACTATCCGGAAAATTCGGATCACTGTGCGACCATGCTGCCTCGAGCTTTGATGATGAACAATGACAGTTAAATTGGATCGGCTGTCCTGGGCTTCTGTCGACCGAAGGAAGAAAATGAGATAATTACGGCCATTTTTTCCGAACCGTGTTGCTTTTGGAGCGGAGGGTGGAGTTTAAAATCGAAACGAGGAGAAATATCAGAGATCATCCGCGAAACGTGTCACCTGATCTTCACGCATGATTTTTTTTTTTTTTTTTTTTGACACATCATATATATTAACTGCAGACTACTAAATAAATACAAAAATGTTGAGCAAATGCAGGGCTCTGCTCCAAAAATAATAAGCCGGCACCCTTATACGTGCATCAGGGTTTCATATTTTTAAACGTACGCAAAAGAAAACAAGGTGTACATAGATTATACCATCAACTCGAAAGTATTTTCGATTTAAATTCTTTGTTTATTATGTATTGGGTGCAAAAACGAAGCGTTCGGACGGTTTTAATTATATTTCAAATTACTAAGCCGCAAAAATTCATACATGGGTTTTTTTTTCATTTTCTCATTTGACGTTTTGAATTTTTACAGAAACTTTTTTTTTATGAAAGAATCGAGAGTATAAAAATCAACTCAAATCAGTTGAAAAAGCAAATTTATTCGCCTGCCTATGCAAAATTTGATGAGTCCATGAAAAATATTACTCACTTTATATATATCCATGGTATGATAATTCCTAAAAAAGTCCTCCTTCCTGTGCGAGACAGGACATTTCATCAAACTCTCACGTACATCTCTAAAATTTTGAACTTAATGGAAAAAATTCGACCCGTGTATCCAGAGCAACTTTTGAAGTTTATTATAATAAACCGAGAATGAATGGTTTACTCCCTTAACTTTCAGGGGCAACGGGCGATATTCTACCGTCGCAATTAGTTTAAACTTTTACTTTGAGAGACCACATTTGATATTTAACACGAATGAATCGCAACTCATAAAACGTCATTGGCGCGAATGCGTTCATTTCTAACTGAAGTATATCTGATTTGCGTTATCAACTTCTTACCAATAAAATGAGACACCGAAGAATCGCCGTTGGCATCAAAAAAAGAAAAGTTCAGAGAACTCACCTCCGAATACTGCAGCTGAGAAATCTCTGAAACAGAATTAAAATCACATCAGCAGGAGTTGGAAAGAGCTGTTTTAATAAATTTGGAAAAGATGAGCGAACAGATGGTCTAAACGAAGCATTGATTCACTTGCCACTTGCGAATGCTGGTAACAGATTTTCAGTTTTTACCCTTTTATTATCCGTCTTAATTACCGAATCAAAGTTTCATTGCGGTTTGAGGAAGCTATCCTCTCCACATTAGTGCTTTGGAGCTTTAATGCTGGTTTTTCTTCCCTCCTCGAATGAATCACAGTGGAAGATAAAAATACGTTTTTCTGACGTTGAGATTATGACAACAGAGCATATTTTTTCAGTATTTTGAAATTTAGTATTTTTCATTTATTTTGATTCAATCTTTTTCCGAGTAAGAAAAAAAATGCTTAGAAAGAACTGAAATTATACATAAGAAAGCTTTGAAACATTTTATGAGATTGTTTGATATTTAAGTTATGTTTTCTAGAAATTCTCTCTCGGTAAGAAATTATGATTTGCCAAAAATTAAAAAATTGCTCGTGGACGCGGTTTGCATGATGCGAAATGCGCAGAATTTTCGTTCTGGAGTATATTTTAGACGTTCATTTGATGAATTTGACGTAGTTTTCATGGCTTTAGACGCGAGCGAAGTCATTTTACACTGACCAGAAAGTTTGATCATGTTAACAAAGGTCCGATGTTCAATATCAATAGAAATATTGGTTTATCAAAGCAAACTTACGATCACGTCATCCTGTAAGTTCGAGCTGTGTGATCGAGCTTTTGGATTGAACTGAAATGAAAAAAGAGGATCGATTTTACGAAGTGGGCATTTGAATATGTAGCAGGCTGGTAAAATCAGGCGTTTAAAACATATGATTTTACCAGCCAGCCATAAAACACCGTGTTTTGCAAACTGCCTAGGCAGACAGTTTTATACACCTTAGATTGCAACAATGACATTTTTCCTGATTTTTTAATAGAACATAATTCTAATCTTCAAATTGCTTCGTTTGCATTAAATGAGGAGTCCTTAAGTATGAGTCTAACGGGAACAAGACGTCAATACTTTTGACTAGTCGAACCTAAGTAAAATTTATATTATTATCAATTTTTTCCCTTTGTAGTGATGAAAAATACTGCCATTTTTTAAAGATGACTCGCAAAACTTTGGAGTTCTTCACATTTTGAAAAAATTCCTGATTTAAATATTAGTCTGCGACAGATACAGGGTGAGCCAAAAGACCCGCACCAGATCCATAATTCCTAAACTTCTTGCCCTTTTTTAGAGGGGCCCGTTTAAAATTTTGAGAGTTCCCAAAAGTCCTTTACTCCGACTTAAGAGCACTCCTAAAATTTCGAGTGTCTATTTTATTTTATTTTATTTTATTTTATTTTATTTTATTTTATTTTATTTTATTTTATTTTATTTTATTTTATTTTATTTTATTTTATTTTATTTTATTTTATTTTATTTTATTTCAACGCAGAACTGCAAAGATAAGCGTTTTTATATGTAATTTTGTTTAATGTTGCTGATTCTCCAAAAAAAAGTTTTGATATCTCAATTTGTTCAAAAGTCACGTGGGTGGCGACGGTGGTGCGATATTTTGGGATCCGTCTGTTTATGGACCGAACTTCCGCTCTCTTGAATCGAAAGTTTGATTTGACAGACCGAGTAATTAGCTTAGAAACTCGGCTAATCGTCGTCACTCTTATGAAGAAACGTAACTCCCCTCAAGATTGTCAAATTGACTCCAACAATTACTTTATTTTCCAAAAATGCATATGAGCAATTCGTATCAAAAATTTTCTGACTTCTGCATGAAATCGGAGGAAAAATCAGCGAAATTTTCCGTTAGAGACGCCCAAAGTTTCTCTCGTTGAATGCAATTTTCAAAGGGAAATTCGGCAACACTGGAATGGAGTTACGCTCTTTCGTGAGGGAAACGATGCAATACGCGGGAAAAAAAATTATCACAATCCCAACCATACTCCTGGCTGATTTTGGCGCCAGATATAAGAATAGTTGCACCAGTCAGAAGTATAAGATTGAGTCTACCGGAAACTTGGTTGGATCAAGTATACCTCCTGCTAGTGCAACTACTCGTATATCTGGCGCCAAAATCAGCCAGGAGTATAGTTGGGATTGTGATACTTTTTTTCCAGTGTACGATCGAAATTTTTTTAAGTGCAGTGGGTAGTCGGCCGTACCTCTCGTGAGTGAGAGCCTCGTCCCAAGTTGTACGTGCCACGGCGGACTTTCCGCAAAAAGCCGACCGGATGCCTAAATTATGCGAAAAGCCCGGTCGTCGGGGGAGGCCGCGGCCCATCCGGTGCGGCTACCGGTTCTCCGCGGCGCGGAATCCCGCGGAACCGGTTCGCGGCGGCGGCGTCGGCCGCGCGGAACACAGGTGTTTTCTGATACGGCCGCCTCGATTTATCGGGCCCCGATCGGTTTTCCATTAAGCGCGGAGCTCCCGCAGTTCAGAAAGCACTTATCTCCACCTCGATCCCCATTTCACATACGCGGTTTTGAATCAACAGCGCTGAATCGGAATCGGACCGCGAAACAAAGCGCATTGCCAGTCCCTGCACAGACTCCGGTCCGGTCGGGCCATCCCCCGACTTTGATTTATTGGGGGGCTCCGCCGCCCGCGACCCCCCGCGGGAGGGGGGCGGGGGGTCGCGGCTTCCACGTTACGCCTTGTTGAACGATTTTCCGCCGGTTCGAGGAGGCACGGAATGGTTTTCAGGCGATGTTGCTTCCCATATTAGGAGATGCCTCGCGGATTGAAATAATGCTAATGCGGGTCAAGTGCGGTCCGCGAAGATGCGGCCGAGCTTGATACTGAGTCGCCTGTGCCGCACAGTGGGTCCAGTTAATTAGTGAGCTCGCACATAAAATTTTTGACTAACACAGCAAATTTCGATGTTTATTTCGTCACATTTTAAATTTTAAGGGGTGCTGGTAGAGGGAAATTTCACGAGGAACCCGATGGAACCACTTTTAGAACCTCAAAATTTTGTAAAAACGGAGTTGTAAGCTCTGATAGTCTCCAAATTTTGTCCGATCTCTCCTATTGACTCGATCCTCTGTGTGCCCTCGAGAGTATCGTCGGTATGCCACTCGCTCGTGCGCGTGCCTTTTCCTTTTTTTATTTTATTTATTCTTGCGTTTTCCACGAGAGACGCTGACACTTCGCTCGGGCACATCTAGAAGGGCAGGTTAGCAAAATGTTTCCACCTATCAAAACATAAAAAAATTCCAGGTTGTATGGACCTGTTCTGTGTAGGTAAAAATAGAAAAAAAGGAGAAAAAACCTCGACCTTCATAATTGGATCACATTTAGCACGAAAGAACAAGCGCGATTACAGTGTTTTCAAAATCGTGTACTTGTAAAAAGACTTAATATATGCACAGTATTAAAATTTACACAGTTACTTTTCCTTAGAATTCACAATTTTTTGGTGGGAAGCAAAAACCATTTGCTATTCTGGGAGATTTTTAAAGAAATTATGAAGAAGCAACATTTGTACAACACTGCATTCGCGCTGGTTCCTTTTTGCTAAATATGATCCAATTGCTTGTAAGAGAGGTAAATGAAACAAAGGTATACCCACACCCTCCCCCACTCAAGCACCCGAAATTGAGGACACGAGGCGAACTGCCGCGAGTAATTTTGTCAACTTTTTCGCCTGATCGGCAGGGTTTCAAACCAAAGGAGAAAAATCTATTAAGACCAAGAACCAAAATCAGTTGCCGGATGAGTTTTGACCAACATTTGCATCCATCCTCTTTCCGACTCACCTGGAGAGAATTTCGGATGTAATCATCATTGCTGCCAGCATGAAAACCAAATGTTGTAGGTGCACCGTCGTCCGGAAGGAATCTCCTTTCATTATATCGGAGGGTGGCATTCAGAACCGCCCCCCCCCCAACGATCAGCTTATTGAACTTTATAGACAAAGTAGTAGACAAAGCGGTAGGTAGGCAAAGAAGGCGAATAGAAAATGGAGCGATCCCAATGATGGAAGTGGATGGTTTCAATAGGCAAATGATAAGAGACTAATTAACAGTAACATCACTACAAACCATTTTGTAGTTAGTACGTCATTTTCTTCCTCAGCCTTTAACAAGACCCCGTTTCAACCGTCGGGATCGCTACATTTTTCCTTTGTCGTCTTTGTCTATAGCTTTGTCTATCAATTTCAAAATTCAGCCCGCGGTTTGGCACCCAGGGGCTACCGTGAATGATCAGCACAGAAGCACTGGTCTCCTCGGAGGAGTCGGGGAGGGTGAATCATCCTTAACTGATAAATAAAAATAAGTGAGGTAATATAAGAGAACGCTTGTCGTTCAGGTAAACATATCTGCACGTTCTGTGCTCTTAGAGAAGAACCTCGTAAATCCGGTAGAAACACCATGCAGATACGCTGTTTTTGCATAACTTTGCGGTCATGCTTTGGTCCTTCTCGTGCGCGGTTGCCATGCCTTGAATCGTGACCTGAATCGTTCATTTTCAAATCAGCAATAAGGAAAAAGTAATGGGGAATCAATCGCACTGACATTCCTATAAGTCTTCAGACATTACGGTATTTTTTTCTTTTCTTTTCTTTTATTTATTTTTTTTTTTTGAAAAAAGGGATCGTCAGCTATGCTTATAATATACGAGGATTATTAAAACCAAGCATTTGTCTAGTGATTTGACAAATAGTCCAGTTTCAGGGGCCGTCCCATAATAGCCACGCCACGCGCCCAAAGGACTATCTTCTCTATAGTTTGTCCGATGAGGGCCGCTGAAGGAACTTTTGTTTGGGACTGATAATTTGAAGACTGCGGGCTTTTTAGTATCCTACCAATAGCTGAAGAAACGAGGAAAGCAACTTCTTAGATACATCGATATAACCATCGTTAAAAATGAAAATTTGGAGGGTCGCGTATTTTAAATTGGTTTCCTCTGTCGGATATTTGACCAAAATGCATGCTCCTGAAATTTGATGGTGCTCCT